TATTTCCCAGAGGGGATTTCTGGATAGTTTCCTTAATCTGGGTAGCCAAGAAAGTATTGCTGATGGAATTGATATCAAACCTTATTAAATTGGAAGGATCAACAGTTTCCTTGATGCCATTTCAGTTTGTCTGAAACTGTTTAAACATTAATTCTTCTGGAGCTGCTGTTTTGCCTGAGGTAATTTGCTCCCAGAAATGTTTAAGATAAAGCTCATATATATACCTCCTGCAGGCAAGCTCTAACAAAATAGATTCCTGTCTTTGACTGAACCTAATATTGGTTCCTGAATGTCTTCCAGTATTTGAGGCAGTTGTGTCAAAACATAATCCCTTCACATTGTCATATATTCCATAATCTTCCAGTATATTATTCAAAGCTTCATACTGAGCAGCTCCAGTTCCATGCTCCATAGCTGGAATTCCAAGAAGCTTAATGTCTCCATCAAGATTAGCTTAAACAGCAAACCTGTCTCTATTTTCTTTTTTCTCATTAGTGAAATCTTCTATAATTTTTCCATCAAAGTAAGCTGTTTTGTGAGCTTTCTCAGCAGCTTTTTTAACCTTCCTTTTGTGTTGTGCAGCATTTTGATGGATGGTTTTTTTTTTGTGCTTGCCAAATAGTTGATTGAGACAGTAAAAATTCTTCAACATTTTTACTTGAACTAACAACCAAATCTGTACAAACATGCAACTAATCTCTGGAGGAAATTATTTTGAAACTCAAGTCATGACAATATCTTGTACAAAATTCTTGGCTAACTTTTTTTTATTTTTTTTTATTTTTATTTTAATTCACCTCCTCAAGGCGGAGAAGGCCACTACAGGCGAGGAGGCTACTTATTTGTGGCTATAACCCTCTATCAACTCTATAGCTTCGAAACACGAACCTTGACAAACAAGGCCGCTATTCGAAAAAATGAGTTGAGCACGTTACTACCAGGGGTGTGGTGGGGATCAAACTCGGAACCACTCGTTTATGAAGCGAGCGCTCTACCACTACACCACTACCCCATAGCTGTGGCATATCATTACTTGGACCTGGGTGTTCGAAATCAAAAGCAATCTGAGTCCATGCTGGTACTTTTATCACTAGTTTCAAAAGAAAACTGAAGCTCTGTAGTCAAATCATCTTTATGAGAAAACTGTTCAACACTATGTACTAACTGTGGATGTTTTAGTCTTTTCTGTTCTCTCTTCTCAATTCTCCAGTTATATAGCTTGTCTTTTTTACCCAGAGTCATTTTACGTCTGGCCTTTTGATCTCTCAAAAATTTCATATCAGTACGATATGAGTCCTTATTAAGGCTAGTCTTTAGAATATCTTGGATATTTGGTTAAGCAATCCAGAAAACCTTATTTCCTTTTTTTTTGAAATCTTTTCTAGCTTTTCCTGCTTCTTTCGAGTTCTTACACTTACTTTTCTTTAAACTGTCCCAGCTGTTGATCAGATCAGTGATATGCTTCCTATAATAATATATAACTGGTTTAGAAAATATTATATTATCCAAAATTTTTGTAGTGTATTTTATGGTAACCTGTCCCTTAAATATGAATTAAATTTAATGTAACCTACTTTATAAATGGGTCAGTGAGTATCCTATCCCCGTATCCTCGGTCTATCCAAGGTTTCTTAACTGCAAACAATGCAGATTTCAGGACAGCTACCAAGACCAGAACTTTGCTGTTTGATGAGCAATGGTACAAGCAATCAGCTTTTTTTTGGAGTTATTTTGTTTCCAGATCTTCTAAACTGAAAGTAGAGGATAATGTCTTTATTTGTTGAAAACTTTATTTCTGGTAGGTTTTCTTTAAGATCCTCTTCTTCAAAAAGATGTGCCTTTGTTTTAAGTCTTGTCGATTTTGGCATCTTGATTTCTAAACAGTATTTTGATTGAAGAAAACAATTGATATTTTCTTTGATTAAATGAGATGTATTTTACAATAACAATTTTGTATATAACCACAGATAGTATACCTTTTACAGAATGTTATGGATAAACCAGATACACAGAAAACAGAGCAGATAATTTAAAATTACGACAATATGTCTTTTGCAAATACGACAATTTGTTAGTTAATAAAATTACCACGAAAGCTAATAAAAATTCCAATCATAATTTAATATTTATATTGTCTTTTTTTCTTGATTGACAATAAAATTTAAATGAATTTGCATGCCCCCCCCGTTTTTGGGGTTAAAATTATTTTTACATTGGTGGTCAACCATTCCAGGTAGGACCAACTTGATTTTCAAAAACTCGTCAAATATGAATCACCCTAATATATATGTATATATATATATATATATATATATATATATATATATATATATATATATATATATATATATATATATATATATATATATATATATATATATATATATATATATATATATATATATATATATATATATAGACATACATATACATATACATATACATATATATATATATATATATATATATATATATATATATATATATATATATATATATATATATATATATATATATATATAATTCTACTTTAAGTTTGGGTAGTCTTTAATGTCTAGCTGTTAAAAAAATAGTTATAAATTGCTAAAAAATGACCAATTACAATTCGCATTAAATAATTCTGTTCTTGCTTGAGAAAGCCCTTCAGAAATTCTCAGTTCCATCTAAGTATGTTTTTTTTTTTTGAAGTAAAAGAAACCAATCAGGTGGTACCAAACACTTATTATATCAACTTTTTGGAATAGAATTCTTAAGTGAATGACTTCAAAACAAGCTTTTGACATAAGTAATAAATTTTAGCCACATTTTTGTGAGAGAAAATCCTCTATTGATCATATAATACAGTCCTTCAACAAGAGCTTCTTTTTGGTTTTTTTAATGAAGTTGTTTGACTTCTTATAGAATATATTTGATATTTTCCCCAAAATTGATCAGTCAATGTTTACAAGGATTATAAATTTGTTTTGCTGCTGATATAGTTATTTTTAGTAATATATTTTCATAAACTTCGAAGTTGCTTCTCACATGTGGTAGTGGTAGAGCACTCTTGCTTCATAAGCAAGAGGTTACAAGTTCAATCCCCACCACATCCCTGGCAGTACAGCACGCAACTTGTTTCTCCATGCAGTGTCCTTGTTTGTCAAGGTTTGTGGTTTGGAGTTATAGAGTTGAGAGAGGATTATAACCACAATTAAGTAACCTCCTCGTCTGTAGTGGCATTTTTGACCTTGGGGAGAAGGAATTTACATTAAAATATATATATATATAAGCATGTGCTAAAAGTTATTACATGACAATTCCAAAAGAAAAAACATAACTTAAATAATAAAAAAAACTTTATTGTAACATTTTGATTATTTTTCAAAGATAGCCGTTAAAGCGGAAAAATATTTTCTCAACTTCAATGTTAACTCCTGATATTTAGAGAATAATTGTAGAAAAGTATTTTAAAAATTTATTTAATAATATTATATGAATATCAGTTTAAAAAATTTCAAAAAATCTCATATTTTTTTAATAGATTTTTTAGTTTCTCTGTATTATTATATTAAAGTGATATATTAAAGTATTCACCCTGTACCGAATTCACTCCACTTTACCCTACATACATACATACATACATACATACATACATACATACATACATACATACATACATACATACATACATACATACATACATACATACATACATACATACATACATACATACATACAAAAATATCAGTTATCGGGTACACTGGGGAAACTGGATTAGTGGTTAAAATTATTTGTATTAACTTTCATGATTATTAATAATTTCATTAAAAACGCAGTTAATATTGAAAGTATTTTTGTTTACAAAATCAATCGCACAATTTGCTTTGAAAGATTACATTTGAATAAAATACACATGCAAAAAATTACATACATTAAAATACATTACGTACATAAAAATACATTAGATACATAAAAATTGCATCTCTTATATATAAAAAATAATATACTAATAAAATCTAAAATATATTTACAAGACATTGACAAGTTAAAAAATATAAATTTGAAACATTTAATTTTGTAAACAAATAATATTAATTGAAAACATTTAAAGCTTTGTAGATGTGGCTCCGAGAATGAGACATAGTATTAAAATAATAGTTTGATAGTCTATTCTTAAAACAATTTATGCTAGAAATCTTGACAAAAACATGACAAAACTCAAATAATACAATTTTTAAAAGTATTTCAACAGAATACTCTAGAACATTCGGTTAGTATTTTTTGAACCAATAGAATTAGTTGTTAGTAGATTTGGCAAGTTTTTTGTGTTCGCAAATATTAATTTTTTATTTTTCAGCACAAAGTTTGAGAACATTCGAGTTTATTTATGTTTCCATGAGTTTATGTATGTTTTCCATACATACATACATACATACATACATACATACATACATACATACATACATACATACATACATACATACATACATACATACATACATACATACATACATACATACATACATAAATACATACATACATTCATACATACATAATGATACATACATACATACATACATACATACATACATACATACATACATACATACATACATACATACATACATACATAAATACAAACATACATACATACATACATACATACATACATACATACATAAATACAAACATACATACATACATACATACATACATACATACATACATACATACATACATACATTCATACATACATACATACATACATACATACATACATACATACATACATACATACATAAATACATACATATATATATACATACATACATACATACATACATACATACATACATACATACATACATACATACATACATACATACATACATTCATACATTCATACATTCATACATTCATACATTCATACATTCATACATTCATACATTCATACATGCATACATACATACATACATACATACATACTTACATACATACATACATATATTTTTATCATATAGAATGTCAGAATGAAAGATGTTGTCTACACATGGGATACTATTCGATCTCAAAATATTCGTACAGAAACTCAAAGCCTTTTTTTTTCTGGTTCTAATGGTCTTCCAATAAATGTGAGTAACAGATCACATTTAATAAACATGACAATAAAAAATAAACCTGAAACAATGAAAGGGGAAAACATATCTTTATCTATGCCTAATGAAGTATACCAAGTTTCCCTTTCAATAGCATCAGGCTGTAAGCTGCTTTTAAAATTTATTTTTGCAAATGATGAAAAGAATTTAACAAATCTTATTATTTACATCCAATATGGAAAAGTTGCAACAAAACTTGATTACGACATTATGCTTAATGTATCTATCAAACAAGGTGTTGTCATGACAAAAAATTACAACTTAACCAAGACAGCTGTATTAAATTTAAACAATAACACAAATCAATACTCAACTAAAGTCTTACAAAGAAATCAAGATGTTTTGCTTCTTGATGATGGTGCAATTATGTTATGGAATTTTGACAATTCAACATACTCATTTTTAAACAAAAGTGAACTTCATTTAATGTTTTTGTATTCTGGCCCAATGCCAGCTAAAAAGATAGTTCAGAATCCATATAATTTTGATGAGACAGAATATTTTGGAAAATTTGATTATGAAATGAAATCATTTTGTGTTGAATGTAATTACTGGAATGAAGATGCAAACAAATGGATGTCAGATGGGTGTCAGGTATGTTAAATTTTTTACGTAAATAATTTTTTAATTTTTTTTTTTCAGGCATGTTAAATTTTTGTCGTAAATAATTTTTTAATTTTTATCTTTTGCTTTTTACAAATATGTTTAAATCAATTTAAGTTGAAGTAAATTTGCAATTTAAAGTTTCTTTTATTTATATATTTTTATTTGAAAAGTTTCATCTTCTATTGGTATCATGTTTATTTCAAAAACCTAGTTTCTTATTTATGTTGCTTGTTTAAATTCTTTTTTCGTAAATTTTTTTCATATGAGCTAAAATATATTAATAATTATTATAGCTTGATGTTCATCAAACAAGTTTTTTGATGACCAAATGTAGATGCAATCATTTAACAACTTTTGGTGGATTTTTTGTTGCTCCTAACCGTCTACCTACAATTTCCATATCAAAAATAAGAAAAGGATATGTATTACTTGTAGCAGTTGTAACAGTAATTTCATTATGGTTGCTCGGACTGTTATTTACAAGAAGATTAGATAGAAAAGATATTTCAAAGGTAAATTTTCATTTTTTCAATTGTTTCCTATAATTTATTTGTATATACATAAGTAATTAAAACTAATAATAGCAAGCAATACTAGCATTATGTTACATAATTATTAATAACTAATAGTAACATAGCATTACTATCAGGAAGCAACCTGTTCAACAGGTTATTAGTAAATAACTAATTAAAAACAATTTAATAAAATATCTAAAAAACTAATAAGGTACAAGTTTATCTACATATCATCTATTTTTTTTAGTAAGCAGCAGAGAAGGAAAACCAAGTAAAGCCTGCTAATACCTGAAAAACTTAAATTACAAAAGCATTAGTTTACATTATATTTTTAATAAGTTCTTAGAAAATAAAGAAAAAAAAAATTGAAAATAGTTTGCTAATATAACTAGCACAACACACTGCAAATACTTTTTGCTTATTAAATTTGGTAGTAAATATATTGAGTGGATTAAACCCAGTAAGCACAGAATATCCTGATTTGTGACATTAGGGTGCAGTGAAACTTTAGGTGAAAATATAAATAGTAAATTATTGATATAAAATAAAAACAAAAAGTTGCTTTTTGATATGTGTTCAAATAAAGTGAATAAAATTCCAAAAAATATTGTCCTTGGCCATGAAAAGTCTCAATTCACCACTGGTTTCACCTAACCTGTTTTGGTTATCTAGGTTATTTTACCTTTATAACTCTTCAATAAATGTTTAAAATTAAATGTTTTAAGCTCTTCCAGGTATTAATTTTACCGCAAAGTTGCTAAGTCACCATCATTAATGAAATTTTCAGTTATCTGAGCGAGTCTGTCTTTTTTTTACTTAAGTTTGTATGCATTTTGATACAATCGAGAACAACAGTTTGAATGAGCATTTAATTTGTGAAAAAAATGGAAGGAAAGACTTGATCAATTGAATTGGTAAATTAATATTAACTGAATTGCATAACAAAGTCATTTCAAACAAAAATATATACAGTATTGGCCAAAAGTTTGAATCCACCTCAAATTTTTGGCCAAAACTGAAAATTTTTTGCATTGTTTATTTGTAATTTGTTTATATTGTTATACTATTGATTGATTGTTAGAAAAATTGCTTGACTCATACTTTTAATCTATTTGTGCTGTATATTTTGTGTTTTTGTGTATTCAAATTCAAAGGTGGATTCAAACTTTTGTCCAATACTGTATAAACAACACATTTTGTATTGTCTCATACTTGTTAACTTTGTGTTATATTGACGTAAAATGTGTTTGTTTTTTTTGTTATTACTTAAAAATAATTACCTTTTTTAGTTATATAACAATAATTATCTTTATTTCATTTAACTTTTAAGTTTTATGAAATAATTAAATTTATTTCATAAAACTTAAAAGTTAGAAATATTTCGAAAAAACTGGCAGAATTTCTATATTTCCATCAAAGGTAATCCTTTATAATTTTTGTTCTAGATAATATTTTTTTAATATTAATAATGTCTGCTACCACCTTTTACACTAATTAATTCAAAGTTTGGGTTTTTCATACTTTTTCTAAGATTTTCCAAACAAACCTTTGTAATACCAATCCATGCTTGTTCGATAGATGTTTTAAGTTCTTGTATTGTATAATACTGTCGAGAATTTCCATATATATTTTGTGCCACTATTTTCCAGAAATTTTCAATAGGGTTCAATTTAGGTGAACATAATGGCCAACCCAAAACATTTATATTTATGGCTTGCTAAATTAATGTATAAATCAAAAATTACTTATGAATCTAATATAAAGTTTGAAATAAGAATTGCAATGTCATGTCTGTGTCTACGGTTGTTGATATTAGCATACGTCTGTGACCGGTATGAGATCTCAGATAGAGCCAGAACTGCAATAGCAAAAGGTGTTTTAAAAGAATTTGATGTTGTTAATTGACAAGATACGACAGGAGAGAAAGCGTAATCAACTAAAACCTTCTAAACCTTCTAAAAATTCAAAAATAGTTTGTGGAATTTATTTTGATGGACGAAAAGACAAAACTCTTACTCTTAATAATATCAAGTTTCTATTGACATTAAGAAGTTTGTAGCTATTGGATGTGACAGAACTGCTGTAAACACAGAAATTAAGGGTGGTACAATAAGGCTGATGGAAAAGGAATATAACAATCCATTGTAATGGTTATTTTGCCTTAGCCATGCAAATGAACTTTCTCTTTGACATCTGCTAATTTATTTAGATAGATTAACCACAGGACCAAAAGTATTTTTAGGACCAATTGGTAAGGCACTTGTAAATTGTAAGAATTTACCAGTTGATGAATTTGAAAAGATTTATGTAACTCTTCCAAAAGTTGAACTTAAAGTTTTGAGCACATATCAAAAGTATATGTTGGAAATGTGTGAAGCAACTAAATCACTCTCGATGGCTGACAACAACGAATAGACTTCTACGGTTGTATGTGGCAAGCAAAGATCCATCAACAAATCTGACCCATTTAGTAACTTATGTCGTGAGAGTTTATTCTCCTGTTTGGTTTAGTATTAAGATGCATCCTCCATGCAAAGACAGTGTGCAACATCTTTTTAAACTTATTCAACAGTCATGTTACTTAGATGCACATAATTACATAGAACTCATCAACTGGAAAGAAAATAAAAAAACCAGCCTCCTTTAACAGCTGATGTGTCCAAGGAAGATGTTTAATTGTTTTTGAAAAGTGGCGGACAATCAATAAATGAGCTTGAAAGACTTCCATGCCATATTCAATCAGTGGAGAAGTGTGTCAAGCTCGTAACTGAGGCTTTGCTGGCTGTATGTGGGTAAAAATCTCAAGATGGTTTAATTTGATCCCATTTACATGCACACCACATAATGCCAGTGTTTAACACAAAGTCAGAATATTGATTTCCCAAATCAATAAAGTGATAAAGTGTAATGAGAGATTTTTTAAAACTCAATTATGTATATTAAAATAATTAATGAATAGATATTTTTGTTGCATCCTTTAACTTAATGTAGACTTGCTAACTTGCTAAGCTGCGCTGGTGACAGAGAGGGGGAAGAGGGTGACGCAGAGAGCCATGTCCCCCCAGATTTTTTCAAAAAGCCTATTTTTTTTAATTTTTACAAAGTTGGTGTTTAGAGAAGTACTTATTGACATTTTAGATTTTTTTTGTGCATTGGCCCCAACCCCCCTCCTATTCCTCTTTTCCCCCACTGAAAAGAATGACACATGTCATTCTTTTCAGTTGTTTGAAAGTATTTGACCATAAAAAAAAAGTAAAATCTTTAATGAAAAAAAAAAAAAAAAAATTTACTAAAGCAGTCAATTTTTACTAACTTTGTCCCCTATGAGGCAGCTGAAGACTTTAAAAGTTTTAAAAAATTTTTTTTTCAATGTTTGAACACTAACCAAATGAAAACCTTTTCTTGCTGTTACATATAAATATTCTACTTTTAATTTTTTCAATGCACCCTATTGTGACATCTATAAGATGTCATATAGACATTCCATGATCCTCTGTGCCAGCTGTGAATTTTGATCATTATAACCAAGAAATATGACCAATCTTTCAACAATTATTAGTTATTGGCATTCACCAAAAAAATTTAAACTTTATTTAAAAATCTTCTACAAAAACTGGGATTCACTAATAAATTTGACAAATTAATTTTTCTGTTTTAAAAATGGTTAAAAAAAAAGCAAATTTATCTAATCTTTTAAACATAATTTAAAACATAGAATTTTTAATGCTTGATAGTTGTATTTATTAGATTTATTAGTTATTTTTATCTTTGCTTTTAATGAATGAATAATCAGTGAGCTCCAGTAATGAAACTACCTAATAATGCCTTGTTGAAAACAAAGATAATAAAAAAAAGAAAATCTTGTTATAGTAAGACGTTATTTGTAGTAAGATTCAAACTTAAATTTAAATTTTTCTGTCATAATTATCTCAAGTAAAAAATAGTTAACAAAAATTGAGACCAACTGGCAGAAAATGCTGCTAAATAACACCACAACTTTGTAATACTTGACTGGCAAGTTAGTTTGCAACAACAACTTTTTTTGTAACTGGCAAGGATAACAATCTTGCTTTACACATTGCATCGTAGTATCACTTTTATATTATAGAAAAACAAAAACATGTTTTAGCAACTAAAAACATTTATAATTAAACACAAAAATATATTTATCAAAAATGATAAGTTAAGAACATTTCAAAATACATTTGTTTATTATTTGTTAAATAAAAATGTTTTTATCAACTTTAAGAAACCACTATCAAACAATCTTGTCTAGAACTTGGTCTTTGTTTAATGTCAAACTAAAAATTCAGAACAAAAAAAAAATTAAATACATATTGTGTAACTAAAAATTATTAAGTTTTATAACTTTTAAATGTTAGATGTAAATGAGTTTATTATGCACTGGATGTACTTTTTTTTTATTCAAGGTGTGTGTGGTGTGTTTTTAAAAAAAGTTTCATAAGAAAAACAATGTTTAATCTTGCAGTAATTCAATGTTTTACAAAAGTATTTTTTTATATATTAGTTTTAATTTTTTGTAAATTATGTAACTTTTTTGTAACTATTTTAAAATTTGTAACTTTTTTGTAACTTTAATTTCAGATTGGTGTTTGTCCACTTGCTGATAATCGGGATGAAGATACCTATTTGTATCAAATCATTGTAAATACTGGTACTCGAAGAAATGCTGGTACCAAATCAAGCATCTTTTTTAATATTGTTGGTAAGATGATTTTTTTTATTCTTGATATTCAATCATATAGTTATACAAAAATCAGTAATAACAGTTATATACATGTCATATAAAAAGTCTCAGAATGGAATTTCTTAAATTTAATAATTGTCTGTTACTTTTTATTTTCTTTTTATAGTGTTTTATTAATTTTGATTTATTTGCAGTTTTGACTTATTCACATGTTCTAAATTATGACAAAATTGTAACCATCAGTTGCTAAACTTTAACTTCAAAGTATAATCAATTTTTAAAATTTTATTATACATCACTTTTAGCAATAGTGTATAGGTCATATATCAGATTCATACAGGCTATATTATGGGCACTATGAAGGAAGTTTACCTGAGACCCAAAATAAAAAATGTGTGCAGTTTTTCAATGTTTCCCATGCCTGCTAGTTCATATAGTTATCTTATATAAAACTTAACCCAGTCCTGCTGCTATTTTTTATTTTTATTTTTTGTTCTTTTTAGAATTTTTGATGGTTAATTCATATTAGACCCAATTACCTCCTGTTATCTTTTATTTACTTAAAAATATAAAAAAAAAATTGTTTTTATTAACATAGTGACATCCGGTTCCAACACACAAATAATAAAAAAGAATCTTGTTAATGCTCTCTCTGATGTATTGCTATTTAAAAATTCATATTCCTTTAAATTTTGATGAAATTGAAATTTTATCAAAACTAGAAAGTTTGAGTTATTCTTAAAACTTCTTACTGTTATAATAAAAAATACATCTCATAAGTTGTTGTAAATATCTAAATGTGTAACATCTTTTTTCTATTTCTCCTAGTGAGTTTTGAAGTTTGAATGTAGAGCTTCTGTTGCTTGTTTGAAAAAAGGACATACCTTTTTGATTTTGATGGTACATGGTAACAGCATGTATTTTGATGTAATGAAAATAGGGAGTTTGGTGTAGCTGTCTCTGAGTTTCATAATTTTTAATTCAAAGTCTTAATCCAGCTGGATGCCGAAGCATGCAGTAACCACACGGCCTGATTAAAATTGGCTGAATCAGCATGCTGCTGTAACTTGACCAAACCTCTCAATAACTTTATACAATCGTGTTCATTGAAGTAATCGCCATGGTAGGACTGAGGTGGAATAGGCGGTGCTGATGGCTATTCTTTTGCACCAAGCCAAAGATCAACCAGAATTTTTACTAGATGCTTCCCAACACCTAGCAATAAATGTAGCTCCATTGGTGGAATAGCTTCTCATATAAGCTTTTGGACTGCAAACTCCAACAGTGTTAGATGCAACACGTTTTGAAAAACTTTTAATTTTCTCAAATTGCTATATAAGCTGACTAATTCTTTTTGCTTGCTTCTTATACCACTAAACTTTCTGAGGCCTCCACAACTAAGGTGATTTGTTAACTCAATGTCATTCCAACAGCAAGTGTGCTTGCTGCTATGAGATTGCTTACCACAAATTATATTGGCAAGTTTCATATCATGTGAAAATATTAGAAAATCTTTAGCACACTTTGATGAGATCAACCTCCGAAGCATCATTACCAAATATATCAAACAGCAGTGCCAAACATTGATAATAATGTAAAACTTGAACAATTTTCTTTATAATTGATCTTGTCTTAATAGTCTGGATTGGATCTGGAAGTTTAAAGATTAAACATTTGAATTTTTTTTTTGCAGAAGTGTTGCTAATGCAGCATTTCTGAGTATTAGAAAGTTTTTTTCTTCATAAACTGCTAGCTTTCAATTTTCTTTAAGTTATTGCTGATATCTATGAAGGAAACATGTGACACCAGTCTGTATAAGTTTAACAAGATTGACAACCTATTAAGAAGTATGCAAGAATATCTATGATGGAGATTATCAATTGTTTGGTGATTTCTTGGTCAGTTCAAATAAAAGACATGAAACTAAAACACTTCATTCATTTCCTGACCTTGTACCTTATTTTGAAAATACACAGAAATTACCTACAGTTAAGGAACAGTTTGATTTGTATGGTGAAAAAGATCTGTGTAGACTTACTTCTACTTGCTTACCGATTATAATGGTACTGATAAAGACAATGTATTCAAAGGAAAATTTTTTTTAGATGTTACAATAGTAGAATGGTGTAAATATATGTCAGTCATATTTCTAAAGTGTAAAATCAACAAAGAAAGTATTGATTTGAAAATTATAAAAGCAAAGAATCTAAAATAATTAAAATCAACATAAGACACGCCACAACTACAAACCCGCAAAGTTGTGGAGCAACTGTGTTTACAATAATGTAATGAAATGTATCCAAACTGTTTAAAGTTATTGTACTTAATAATGAATTTTGCACTTAATTCTAAGACATTTTTTTTGAAGATTCAAACTTTTGAAAACAACCAGCATGTAACACTTAAAGGTCTTTTTTGTAATGCCACTTCACTATTGAAACACCAAATAAAGGATTTTTAAACAGTGTATTTAAGAATTTTGTGGATAAATTGAAAAGCAGTATCCCCCCCGAAAATTTTTTTTCTAACCATTAATTTCTTTGTTTTGTTTTTAGCATTATATTTTTTGTTAGACTGTACAAATTAAAAGAATGATTTTTAAAATTAAAAATTTTAATTGAAGAATTTTTTATATTATAATTTTAAATATTAGTTAAAAATTTTTATATTGGAAAAAACAGCCATTACATTAATATCCTGGTTTACACCCTAATAAACTATGGTTCATGATATAAATGTTTGAAAATTAATTTCTTAATATTTTTCCTAATTTTATTTGTTTTACTTTCTTATTTTTGTTTAATTTATTGTTTTCTCTTTAATATATCATTTAATAAAATCGACAATTTGAAATACTTTATGAAAATAATTCAAACAGGCAACTTAAATGATAGTGGAGTAAGACATTTAAAAGATCCAGAAAGAGAATGTTTTCAAAGATCAAGTTGCGACATGTTTATTATGGCTATTCAGAGTACTCTTGGTGATTTAGATTTTATTCATTTGTGGCACGATAATAGTGGTGGAGGTTGGTATGTAAAGTATGTGGGATTTTAAATAGTTTTTTTGCTTGATTTTTTTTTTAAATTAGTTTTTTTTTTTAAAAGTTTTCAACATAATTATACTTTTCATTTTTCTATATATATATATATATATATATATATATATATATATATATATATATATATATATATATATATATATATATATATATATATATATATATATATATATATATATATATATATATATATATATATATATATATATATATATATATATATATATATATATATATATATACAGTAGCTTTCATAAATTTAGACGCATTCACTTTTTTTTCATTAATGTAAGAAAATACTCAAAATAAAAATAAAATAAAAGTGCTACCGCTATGTTTGATATATAATTAAAAGAGGAAGTAAAACTCTATTATAGAGTACCTTAATTTTTTTACAGGATGTTTATTACTCATTCTATACCGATTAACACAAAAAAGTTAATTGATAAGCTTGATTTTATTTTGTTCATAAATTTAGACGCACAATCAAAAAAGTCTTATATCTTGTTAATTAATAGTTAATTAGTAGTTTTTTCCCATATTTTTCATTAATAGGCCTAAATTAATTGATTTTGTCAAAAAACCTTATATAAGTATGACTTATCTGGAATTAGTTAATTATTATTTAATAAATAAACAAAAGTTAAGTTAGTTTTGCACTAAAAAGACGTGAAAAATGGGCAAAAGACGTGTCACTCAAGATGAAAGATGGCAAATTATTGCGCACATCAAAGAAGGAACCAAAAGTAATAGAAAAATCGCCAAGTAAATTGGAGTTTCTGAGAAATGCGTTCGGACAACGAAACAAAACTTTCTTCACACTGGTGGTGCCAGAGAGAAAACGAGGCCAGGTAGACCCTTGTCAACCACGAGAAAGAACGACAGTGTTCTTTTTAGAGCTGTCAGAGCTAATCCAAGAATTAGTTACAAAGAATTGAACACAGAATTCAATACAACGCGAAATACATCTATTTCTCAAAGCATAGTCCGCCGAATACTTATCAAATACAAGATTGAAGTCTACACTGCTTTGAAGAAACCGCTTCTGCGTCCATATGATAAACAAAGGAGACTAAAATGGTGTCGTGAAAGAAGGTATTGGACAATAGAACAATGGGAAAACATTATGTGAAGTGATGAGAGTAACTTTGAGCTTATAAATCGCAAATCTAACATAAAAGTCAAAAGAATGGCTCACGAAAAGTATTACGCCAGGTACATTAGACCGACTTTACAAAGTGAAGGAGGCTCGATAGGAATCTGGTCATGCTTCAATTACAAAGGTGTTGGTATGTGCCAAACATACACCGGAAGAATCAACTCCAGAATATACGTAGAAGTACTGGAAAACAACCTAATTCCATCAATTGACCTGCTTATGCTCAATGATAAACCATGGAAACTTCAACAAGATGGCGCTACTGCACATACTGTATACTATACAAAGGAGTGGTTCAACAATAATAATATCATGGCAATACCGTGGCCTCCATACTCACCTGATTAGAACCCGATTGAAAACGTTTGGGCCTAGATTGACCGTGAATTAGCAAAGGTTCAAATTTTCACACTTGGTCAGCTGAAGGAATTCCTTAAGGAGACCTGGTATGAGGTCCTAGAAGCGATGTGCGAAAATCTTGATGAGTCTATGCCTAGAAGAGTTCTTAGTTGTATTAAAGCAAAAAACGGATACACAAAATATTGATTGGTTCATAAACTATTCCTTCTAATGTATCGTGCATCTAAATTTATAAATAATTTTTTTTGTCTAATTTTTTTAATACCATGTAGTTGTACCTAATTATTACTTAGTATTTCATTTTGTTTTTGTAAACTTTTTTTAAATTTTGTATTCTGTATGTACTTATCTAATAAATAGAAAAAAAACTAAACCGAAATCTTTTTTCGTCATTGTTTGATTGTTAAAAAACTAAAAATTTCTATTCTCAAATATGAGTGCGTCTAAATTTATGAAAACCACTGTATATATATATATATATATATATATATATATATATATATATATATATATATATATATATATATATATATATATATATATATATATATATATAGCAGTAATACCAGGGGACATGGTGGAATAGGGAACTTTAGAATTTTTGCTTTCAATGCTAGCACTCTACTACTAAGCCACCATCACAATTTTAGTATATGATGTACTTTTAGGAATTTTTTATTTTATATTTTCGAAATTAATTTTAATTGCTTTGCTATTTAGGTTTCTACTTTAATATTTAGAAACATTATAATCATTGATCTTCAAACTGAGAAAAGATTTGTGTTCATAGGCCACTGCTGGATTGCTGTGGATCGTGGCATGTGTAAGTTAGACTGTGTTTTACCAGTAGCATCATTTGAAGAATCAACTAATTCACTTTTTGTTTTTAAAAATAAAGCACAGCATAAATTGCATAATGAGCATTTATGGTTTTCAATCTTTTTTCGCTCCCCTAAAAGTAACTTTACTAGATGTCAAAGGTTATCTGTTGCAGTATCTTTAATTATGACTTCCATGATGGTTAGCACAATGTTTTATCAACGTGTTCCTCAAGCAGCTCCAGCTATAGAAAATAAAGATGGCAACTTCATTATTAATCTGACACAGGTTTTTTATTTTTTAAATTTTTTTACATTGTGTTTCTATTTAAGGGTGAGTGGGCAACTATAGTAAAAGCTTCTTTATTGTGGTTATAAACCTCTCTCAATTCCAAAGTAGAAAACTTTTTAAAGGATGGCTGCATGGAAAAACAAGTTAAGCGGAGTACTGCCAGAGACATGGTAGGACTTCTATATTACCTAAAAAGTTGTTGGTTTTTGAGAGAAGGTTGTGACCACAATTAAGTAGTGTCCTCGTCTGTGGTGGCCTTCTTGGCCTTAGGGAGATAATTAAAAAAAAAAAATTTATATTGAGATGGAATGTTAGAATTACCTTTGGTAAGGATGGTGTTCTAAAGGCCTCAAGAGCCTAAATTCTAAGAAAAGATACAAGATTTAATAAACTGATAATAATTGAGCTTAGCATCAGACAGCATATATAGGAATTTCTATTGAAATCAACCAAAATTCTATAGAAATTCTAAAAAATTTTTATAGGCCAAATGTTTCAAAAATTTATAAAAATTCTATAAAATTTTTTTTCCTTGGAAGGCAAAAAACCATGAGAGGAAAAAAAAATCCATTCCATCAGAACCAACGAGAGGGAATAAAAATCCATTCCTGGTTAGATCCAACAGGTTACATAGGAGGCGCATTTATCAGCGAAGAGAGGAAAGGTATCAGCCCAAAGACTGTCACGAAGAAAACCACAAAAAGAACCCCAGTCAGATTTTCGGTAGTATTAAGTAGTCCAATGATAGAGTGAGTGAGAAAAAAATTCTCAATTACATATTTCTTATGTACATTTTGTGTTTTTTAATTATGTGTTGTCTATTTTGAACTATGAAGTTACCACTTTTATGTTCTCAAAGGAATTTATTACATCTTAAATGGTGATATACTTAAATCATCTGCTAAGAGATGATTTAACATTAGCAAAGATACATTAGCAAAGGTTTCCAATAAAGTATTTCTAAAGATTCAGTTGGTTTTAAAAATACAGTTATAAAAACATTATGATTGATATTGTTCTAATATAAGTTTTAATAAAAAAATGAAATTGTATTGAAAAATATTTTGGTTAATAATATCTAAGGTATGTTAAAAATTATGTATTTTAAATTTTCATATGAAATAAAGTCTCTTTTTCATAAAATATTTTCATGTTTTTTTTTTTTTTTTCTATATATTAGTTATTACTTATGCATCTCAATTAAATCTAATAAACTTTATTTTTTATATAAAAACTGTTTAGGTTTTTGTTGTATTAGTTTCCACTTGCATTAAGTTTCCAGTAAATTTTATACTTGTGAAGTTATTTTGTTCAATAAGAAATTTTCCAAGAAATGATTCACATAATTGTTTAGCTTGTGATACAAACAATATTGATCGAAAAGAGTCATGCGCTTGTGTACATCTACTTGAAAACAACCGTAAACACTTTAACTTTACTACTTGTACTTAATTTACTGGTAAAATGATTAAGTATTTAATTATATATTTTGTATACAGATTCACAACCAAACAAAAAAAAAATGTGCATTTCATTTGAAAAATGCAAATTGTATATTGCATGGTTTATTTGTGCTGGAAATATTTTTTCTTGTGGCATTATCATTTTTTGGTATGGAATTGCATTTGGAAATCAAAAATCGTTGAATTGGTTAGCATGTGTAACTATTGATTTTGTATGTGGTTTTTTTGTTTTTTATTTATGACTTAAATCTATTTATGTTTTATAAATGATATGATTTTTATAAAACATTGAGTTTCAGTGGTAAAATATTATTGCTTTTCTGTCAAAGAACATTTTTTTTTGTTTGAGCTTTTTGCCCAAATTATACAATTTAAGTTTTTTTTAATGTATTTGTTTCCTTGAACCAGGTTAACGGGAAATGAATACATTATTAAAATAAATACATTTTTTCTTATCAACTTTTAAAACTTTTAATTATTTAAAATAAATACATTTATTAAAATAAATACATTTTTTCTTATCAACTTTTAATGTTTAGATTCTCTAAATTCTGAATAAATAAAAAATTTAATAGTTTAATATTTTATAGTTTTATTTATTTTTTATTTTTTTCAACTTTTTGTCACCATAAATTTAGATTTAAATGTTTTGCTGATTAAATTGATTTTATACTACTATTAATTAGTTTTGCATAGAAATAATTAGAAAATTCTGAAAATTAACTAATTAAAATTAACTAAAAAATTTTGATTGACTGTATAAAATTACTTTATTGATTGATAATATGCAATGACCCAAACAAAAGATAGCTTGTTTACCTAAATATTTTAAATTTATATATATATATATATATATATATACAGCGCTCGAAATACAACGATCAATGATCGGCTATTTTTAGGGAAATTTCGAAAAATTAACAGCATGTTAAAATCTGTTATTAAGAGATTTTAACATGCTTGATTATGAGCTCTCTTACAGAATATTAAATTAGCCCAATACCTTATGATGCTTTTTTGTCTTAATCAATGATTATATATCAAAGGCTGGATTAATGTCATAGTGCAACAGCTTAACTATTTTACTGCATTATAGCTATTCATTACACAGACCATATATAATATAAAGAATACCCAATGACAATATATTTTTAAAATTGAAATCAAATTGATTTTAATATCATTAGCAGTTTTCAAACAGTGCCACATTTACAACTTTTATAATCAGAGTTAATCACTGTCATTCAGTCTATTCCTTGTTGATATCTCATAAAGTTTTCATTTACTGTGAATGGTAACTGTGGGTATCATTTGGTGACCCTTGATCATATTTTCTTAAATTATAACACTTTAATTTGCACTTATAGAGTATTAGCAAGACGTCTTAGCACAGTATTTGCAAAACTTACTGCAGATCAAGTCTGTCTTAGCTCTCAATTTATCGTTTGCCTTTACTGACTGTACTTCTTCATTTTGTCTAGAGGTGTACCAGATTTTTTTGCCAGATAAATCCAGAGAATGAACTTTTTTCAATTTCTATATACGATTATGAAGTAAAAACAAGTTTTTCCATTCTACATTAAATAGTGTTCAAGATTCAAAAAAATAAAATCAAAAATAAACTGGTATAACACAGGTTTATGCATTAATAATATATAAAGAAAAATCGTTTTTATAGCAAAATTTTTTTTTTAACAACTATTTTCTATACTTCGTCAGCATATATACCATGTTATACAGTTTTTACTAATTTTTTAAAATAAGATATTGAATCCTATTTATTGTAAAATGGCAAGACTTGTTTTTCTTTAAAAACATTTATAGAACTTTAGAAAAGTTCACTATCTGCCATATTGGGCAAAAATATCAAGTATACCTCTAATTTTGTCTGAAATGCTTCTCTCTGCTTTTTGCATTCTGCTTTTCTATGTTTAGCATAATGGTATACTTCCCATGTTCTAAACGTTGGTCTTTTTTTGGCTTGTAAAAGGTAAAATTATAACATTCATTTAGCATATGCCTGTATGTAGTAATACTTGGCAGCTTGCACCCTAAATTAAAGGCTGAAAATGTCTCTACAAAAAGATTGTTGATTTTTGTAATATTTAGCTTGCTGGCGAGGTAGACAATGTGTTCTTTAATGACAATAATAGCTGCCCATTGTTGAGCTAGATTTAATGTACTACATCACTGATTTTTTAAATCAGGCAAGCATTTATATTATTTGTTGAGCCATTGAACTTTATATTGCATTAAGTGTTTTGTTATTTATAACTTTTTTCCTCTGCCATCAATATCATAGAACATACCATTCATATTTACTTGTGCTATTGCTGACAAAAAAGATCTGTTATTTACTGCATGTGTTTTAAGAAAAATTGCTTGCACATCACTTTTTTTTGCTCAATTGAAATAAGTAAGTAATGGTTACTTGCATTTTTGTTCTATCATACTTTATACGACAGTGATAATGAACCTTGCATACAAATGTGTTATTCACAATAACCAATGTTTGCATCACATAGTCGAAATCAAAAATTAAACCTGTCATTTCGAAAAGGGCACAAGTCCATTTATAAAAACTTTTAAAATCAACAAAAACATGATTTTTATTAAAATAATGTCTACACTGCCAGAGAAATTAAACATAGAAGTAGATAAATAAAGAATCTATATAACTAATGTATTTTTCATTTTTTATAAAAAAAAAAACATAAATCATACAGAAAATTTAAATTTAAATTTATAATCTAACTGTTAAAAGTTTTGGACTGGTGTCCTTTTCGAAATGATAGGTTCAATTATCTCAACAAATTGAAATTTGACCAGCATCACGAAACTTCTCTTAGCATTTATATTAACACTTACAGGCAAACTGAAGAGGGTTCTAGTCACAAAAAGCATGACCAGCTGAGTTTAGATGAGCTTTACCTTATAATTTCTTTCTAATGTTTTTTTCCACTTTTCTAGCAATTAAATTTGTTTGTGGGTTCTATTATTCTAGTCAATTATTGTTATAAACAATGTTGACCATGTCGACATTGACAACAAATTCAATCAGCGATTGCTAAACAAATTAGGCTGTCTAGATTCTGGAAGTTGTGGAAGTTTGAACTTGTTAAAGTTGTTTATTTTCAATTTCTATCAGTATTAGTTGTCCGTTCCAATATGCAGGCAACTATATAGTGATGCCATTACCCCTGTCAACAATAAGGCTATTTTCCAGATCATTGTTGGCAATGTATTAATTAATCAATGTTAAAATTCATTATTTTTTGCGGCAGCTGGATGTCTTATACTGCGTTAATAATGCAGGTTTTATTTGTTGCCGGATAGACGACTCCAGATACTATCCTTTATCTTTATAAATCTCAAGTTCATCCTTGTAAGGAATACTGTTGCCATATCTGGAGCGGATCATTGAATGATGATCTTTCTTTTTTAGAAAAGGTGCAAAAACGCGTTGTAAACATAGTTGGACATGCCCTTGCAGCCAACTTTCAACCATTTTCACATTGTCCTAATATTGCTTCACTTTTCTAAAAATAATATGATATGCGCTGCTCTAAAGAGCTAGCGTCTCTTGTGCCACTTGCTAAAATTCATTCTCGTGTTACTCACCATTTAATTAAGTTTCTTCTTTTTACTGTGACTGTTCCGTGAAGTACTCCTAAAATTCTTATTGTCTAATGTTGGTTGCAACTGTATCATTAATGCAGCTATCATTTGGTGTCAGTTGGAAGTTGGTTGTAACAGCTTCGCAATCACAAGGCTTGCTTATTTTTCTTAGATTTATTATTCCCTATAACAAAACGCAGCTCTATTGGACATTTATAGCACTATTAGTTTAATGATATTGAATTGAGCTGTATTATTAACATCTTATTGAATATTGTTAGATATCTTATTAAGTATCACTTTTTATTCTTATATATACTGTCTAAATGCTTTTTGTTTACTTTAAATAACTTATCATTTCTTATAATTTAATATGCAAAATGAAAGTTGTTCCCCAAAGCCAATGCTGTAATATTACAGTTTTTTGCATATCTTCATATTTTTCTTTTTTTGATCAATAATTTTATGTCTAATTGTCACAAAGTTTGTTTCAGACAATAATTTTATAATAACTGAGCTTTTGTTTCAATAATTCAATTTTATACATGTACACTTTTATTTTAAGGGGGATAAGAAAGTTCTTTTAGTGCAAAAATTATTATTAAAAAAGCAAATATTGACTTACGATGAGAAAAAAAAATTGTATAGTCAAAGCGAGTCAGGTTTCTACATTACCAAATAAATATCCTGTTCAATCCAAAATAAGCATAGTATGGGATTATCTGACTAATAAACACCAAGGAGTGTATACACAAAATATATCTATTGATAAATCACTTTTATTGTAGAATGGTCAACTTTCTCGGAAACAGTGCGTTTGCATCAATAGTGACAGGTTTGGCATAAAAACATTTTTGTTGTGTCAGATGTAAGATATGTATGGAAGTCAATTTTATATATAGGATCTGATGTAACTAATACTCTAAGTTCAGATTATTGCTATGTTGCAAAAAAAGTTTCACTTGACCATGGATACAAACTATTAATTGACAATTTGTATTCTTATTTTAAGCTTTCATTAGTTTTATTGCTAAGATCTACAGATGCTATAAGAACAGTTTGCAAAGACCGAAAAGGTTTGTCTATCTCTTTCACAAAAATGAACATATAGTTTTGTATAAAGAAAAAAAATATGATGGTATCCCATAAGAAAGATAAAAAAAGATGTATATACAGTATCAACTTGCATTATTGATGCAACCAAATATGTTTTGAGAATTGGGAAAAAAAGAAGGTTTCTTTATTTATTGATGATTAAAATAAAAATAGGGATCCGTTGATAAAAGTGACCAAATAATAACATTGTATCCAGTTGAAAGAAAAAAGGGTAAAGCAGTGGTATAAAATAGTATTTACTCATTTAAGTGGTTGAGCAGCTTTAAATGCTCATATAATTTTTTTTTAAAAAAAGGTCATAATATAACAGCTTTGAACATTAGAACACTGTTAAATCACATCAATGATTCAATAATATGGTCAACAGCCAAAAAAAATCTCACTCTGGATTAGTGGCTAACAACCCTTAACCAATAATAATTGACCAATATTTCTATTTATATGAGCCAACGTCTAAAATAAAGATAAATGCTTAGAGAAGGTGTGTGGTATGTTACAAACACAAAATTTGAAAAGATTCAAGATATGAACGTGTGCAATATGATTTAGGACTTAGTGCAGCTCCATGCTTTGGCAGTTACTGCACGATAAGTGAATGTTAGTGAATATATTTTTAAAATTTTGTATTTTTATAGTGTGGTTATTCTTAAACATGAAATATAATTTTTTGTAGTGTTTAATGTTGTTGGAAAATGTAAAAAGATTTTTTTAATTAATTAATAAAAAAACACTGAGTTTTTTTAAAAACACAAGACATTTAAAGATCACTTTTAAAAAAAAGATGCTGCAATAGCTATCGTAATTTTAAAAAAACAAGACTTTTAAAGGGTATAAAGGTTTTTAATAACTTTCGGGATCAGCTAATTATTGTTTTTTATCTTTTTTGATTATAGATTTGTTTTCTTGATTTCTTCCTTTTTTTTCTAAGTTTTTATTATTTTTTTATTTTTTGATGTTTCAAGATTAACAGGATACTTTTATGTTTTTATGTTCATTTATGACATTAGGTTAAAAGTATACTTGTATTGGATCCGTTAAAAATTTTTGTTGTGGTTTTTGTTATGGTTCTTGTTGTAAAAAAGATTGATGATGAAACTGCAAATGGTGAAGTTGAGAAGCAAGGTACAAAATAAAAAAAAATTAATTCTTTAACTTGCATAGCCCTAAAGTTACTTGCATCTCAAATGATTTTGAGATGCAAGTCATCCAACTCAAAACTTTTTAGTTTCAAGTAAAACTATCTATTATTTACATATTTTTGTATAGAACCTCAATAAAATTTATTTGGTTAATAAATATTTGATAAAAGTTGTACATTTTTTGATTGTACCCTTTCTAACCTCTCACTAAGGGTATGCACAAAAATAAGAGGATTTTCTCATTGTTTTGTTGTAAAAGTTTGATATAAATATGTTTTTCAAGCTTTCAAATCACAAAAAGTGCCTAACTGTTCTGAAATTCAAAAAAAGAAAGAACCCTCTGAAGAAAGTTGACAACTATAACTATATTTCTAAAAATTTCTGAATTTTTGAAGATGATCAAACTAATATGAGGTATGATCACATGATAGTAGGCTTATGTTCTGACCTGATTTATCATCAAGTCATTATAGCAAACTAGCTATGGGGTGGTATAAAAAAATGACCTGAAAGTCGTCTAAAATTGCAAATCCTCCAAACTGCCCGATAATAAAATATATAAACTTTTTTATTAAAATAAAGCTTTTAAAAAAATACAAATATATGCATCAAAGGACTAGACCAAGCTGTCAAGCTCAAGTGAAATAAGGAAAAAATTAAGGAATAAAAAAAGGATAAAAATAAAGTAAAAAAAATTTAAAAGATATTATGAACAGATGTGTAAAGCAAAACAAAGATACTGAAGTAACGTGTATATTAAAAAAATAATAATGATAATTTAGACATATTCAGATTCTAAATGGAAAATCATAACCAACGGGCAAGGTCTAAAAAATGAAGTTAAAATACAAAGTTAAAATACACTTATACATAATACGCTTAGAGCGGGAATTAAACCTGAAATATATACCATATACACATATAAACACATAAAAACCAAATAGGGAAAGCAGATATTATTGTACTATGTGGAAACATTAAAGATTTGAAAATGTCGTTTAAAAAACATCAATTAGTTTAATTGTTATTTTGTGTGCAAGCCTATGGGTACCACAAAAACAAAAGTTTGAAATTTTATTAGATACCCACAGGAATAAATTCATTTCTTTTAAATATATTATCTTCTTATATTAATGTATTAAAAATAACACTTAGTTTCCAATAATAATAATTTCAATAAAATAAAAAAATCTTGTAAAAAAATGAAAAAGAACTTTATAAATCTGAGCTTCCAACAGCTACAGGTATGCTAAGATATGTTATTCTTCTAATAAAAATTTATGAAGAAAATATTAAGAACTTTAGTGTGGATAGTTTTTCTTCACATAAATTTATTCAGAGTACAAATGTGATTCGGAATGTATGAACTTAAAATTTCAGAGAACTATTATTTAGAACTTTTCAAGAACTTTTCAAGTTGGTGGCCTTGAAAATGATACCAATCATCTTGTTGTAAATAAAAATTGTGATGTATAAGTAAATCTCTTTAAAAAAACTCAATCAAATAAAATTTTCTTAAATACAAAAAGTATTTAAGAAAGTCTTAAAAGAACAAAATTAAAACGAAACTTTTTTTTTTTATTAATTTAATTTCAGAATAAGGGGTAAAAAAAAAAAAATTAAACATAAGATTAAATATTTAAAAAAGATTTTTTAAGTATTTTTAAGGAGATGCAAGAGATAAGGTAGCACAAGTTAGAGAAAGTACTCTAAGATTAAAAAGATCATAAGAAATAAATCCTAATACTGAACAATTATCAGGCCTTACATCATGAAACTTAAGTCTAAATGAGTTTCCTTTATACTGTACTCTTACTTCTGCCACAATTAAAGTTTTTTTTTTAACTGTTCTATGGAAGTTCTATATTAGACTTCTCATACACAGTTGGTTAATAGATATTTCAAATTCAGAACTGAAGTTGCATCAAAAATATGTGCTCAGCTAGCCATTAGAGATATAACGCCAAGAAATGCAAGCAAAAAAACACAGCAACCCTTGAAAAAACGCAGTGATGGTAGCTTAAATAGATAGTAGCCAAAGGCTTTAAAAAAAGTTGAAATAGATTAAAATTTAGACTTCACTTTTATTTTTTTTTTACTTTCACAAAGGATTTTTTTTATAATAAATATTGGTATGATTGCAGGAGGAGTCATTGAAAGGGTTCAGACATGGAAGTCAAAATTAGTGATTATACTGTGTGCATACTTTATATATGCCAACAAGACTCTCATAAATCTATTTTGCGGGCCTGCAACAAGATAAGTAAAACAGTAAAACAAAGTTGTAAAAATGGTTTGTGAAAGTCACCTCGATGCTCAATTAATATATATTTTAAAATTTCAATACTAATATTCCATCTTTAATGATCTAGGTGGCGCAGTAAGTTCTTGCAAGTTGAGTCTGAAGTAATTAGGGTTTAAGATATGCAGGGCAAGGATAATGATAGATAAATGTTATTTTAAATGTCTAACCCTAAAACTACCAAAAATAAAATTTTTTTAAAGTTTATCAAGCTAGCACTTATTGGAAATTAGTTTTTAAAATTTTCCATTTTTAATTAATTGTAACAAAAATTATACAAAACCACTAATTACTTACAAAACCTATACTCCACCTATATTTAGCTTGAATTATAGTATGTGAAGAAATTTGATTTGTTCATCTCTTTCACAAATACTCACTTGATTATGAAGTATCTTTTTTGCCTCAATCCCCTAAACTAGTGTTTTCAGACACTTCTCAACTTTTAGGAGGGATTTAATTTTGACCTGTTTCTTTCTTTGCATCTCTATTACTTCGTTATTTACTTTTAAATATTATGCATATTTCAGAGACACTTGTTTTTATAGCAACTTGCCCTACTAATCTTTGGGCATCTTGGGTATGCACTAAAATATAAATTTAATGGGCTTTGTTAACATTCACCTTGAACTTTGAAAAAATAAATCAGATAGTTTATAGCTTATTGTAAAAAAGATATTTAACTAAAAATTCTTTTAAAGTTTTAGTTTATTAAAAATTAAACATAACAATCTTTAATTTAGGTAAAAGATTAGCTTTTGATGAAAATTGGCTTCACAAGCCTAAAGATAAATTAAAAATTGATAGTGATCGCATTACAATGCAGCCTCTTGATTATTCTACAGTAAAAAAGATGAGAGAGACAAGGCTAAAGCACCAGAAGATGCACACTATAGTTACAGAACTTTTTTTGTTCATTTTCTATGCATGCTTAGTGCTTTTCCTAGGTTATTTTTCACGTGGTAGTCTCACTTTTTATCAAACTCGCAATGTTAAAGAACTTTTTAATTTGAAATTAAGATTGCCAGCAAATCCAAACATCCCATTGTTTCATAGCAAAGTATTTAATCAGGTTTGTCTGTTGCTTTTATAAGTGAAACTTTAAAAGTAATAATATTTAAAGAATTAGGTTTATAAAAAAAAATTCTTTTTTAATAGTATTTCTTCGGTTAAATGATTTTAGTTGTATTTTTATCATATATATATATATATATATATATATATATATATATATATATATATATATATATATATATATATATATATATATATATATATATATATATTTTTTTTTTTTTTTTTTTTCTTGATTTTTTTTATTCTCCTTATTGTTTTGATAATTTATTGCCGTATAAAGTTTTTTTATTACATCGAAAATGTGCAAATAGATTCAATCATCAAAAGATTTTTGGTATTGGATGGAAGAATTTTTTTTACCTCAAGTTTTTCCTGAACCTTGGTATAACTTGAGTGATTTTAACACCAATACAAACATGAAAGATTTTCCTGGAAAATTGTTTTTAAACGATCTTACCTCAAAAATTGTGAATGGAATACGAATTAGACAAGTTCGCATTAAGACAAGTAGGAGTTACTCATAGTATTTTTGTTAATTGTTTATTTTTTTTTATTCATAAAAAAATTATATTTGACTGGTGTTCATTGTTATGAAAATCATTTTATTAATTGTTGTTCACTGATCTGTTTTAAATCATAAAAGGTTTTTAGTTTTAAATCATAAAAGTTTTATCTTTAGTTTATTTTTATCACACAATTGCATACCAAGGTATTATAATATTGATTAGATCTGCTTAGTTAGGTTATTCTATATTTATAATTCTTTTCTTGTATATTATACAAAAAAAAGGTTTATAACTTTTGTTGAACAATTTTCTTTTTACTACCTTTTAAACTGTGTTTTATTATACTTTCTTCCTTTTGTTTTACCAAGTTTCGAAGTAGAAATGATAGTATTTTTATCATTTTTGAATAAAAAGTTACTTTTAAATAATCTCATTTACATTTTTAGAGATTTAAGAAGAATTAGAGGAGTTCATAAATAATAATTTTGCTTTTTTAACCAGAAAACCCAAAAAGTAAAAAACAAAGTTTAAGAAAAATTTGATTTATATTTATTATACCAACTGGTGCATGTTTTAAATAATCACTTGAAAAGAAAAAAAAAATTTCTTTTTAGACTCTTGCACAAAAGCCGACTCAATTTCTAAGTTCATTGCTATAAACTGTTTGTCTCCGTATAAAACTGCATTAGAAGAAACAAGAGGCTTTGATTTGAATTGGACTATTCCAAAACATTATAACTCTACAATTAATACTTTGACAATGCCTTGGAGGTTTCAAACCTGGAAAGAACTTGATGGCTATCCATACACAGCTAGTTTAGACACTTACTATGGTGGAGGTTATGTCATAGAAATTTTTTCTAAATGGAAAAATCAGGTTATACTTGATCAAGCTAAAAATCATAGATGGATTGATAGACAAACGCGAGCTATATTAATTGAATTTGCTTTGTTTAATGGTGCTACTAATAGTTTCAACATGGTTACAATGGCCTTAGAGTTTCTAGCTTCTGGTGGAGTTGTTCCTAATTTCACAGTTCTGACGTTCAATTTGTATGCATCAGTGAGTGGATCAAAGGTTTTGTTGGGTTTCCATATTCTTTTTATCTTGATGACTATATTAATTACTATTCGTGAATCTCGCTTTTTATATCGAAATGGCTGTAAATACTTTGTAGAGTTTTGGAATTTAGTGGAAGTTGCATTGATAATATTTTGTATTATTGCTGTAGGACTTTTTTTTTATAAAGGTATTTTTTCTTAATTTTGTATTTTACATGTTTTTAAAATGATAAATACTACTTAATTTCTGGAAAATTTTTAACCCTAGAGGGTTAAAAATTTTCTAGAAATTAAAAAAAAGATAAAGGTAATTTTTATAATTAATGGGTAAAATTCTTATTTAGACAGTTGTTACAAACAATTTTATGGTAAAATATTGTGAATTAGATTATAAAAATTTTAGAAAGCCCCGTTTGAAAAACACTTTTTTTGGTATTTTGTTGAGTTTTTTTAATTATGATTTTAATTAGAAACAATGATAAATTGTTTTTACAATTTTTTAAAACTGTTTTATCCTGTTATTTGCTTAGCATATTGATGTTTATTGCGGTAGCCAGCTTTGTTTATGGCTTAACATAATTTGCACCCCATTTCCTGAAGTCGATGGGGCATTTGTCAATACCTATTAAATTGGTCTACAAGTTACTGAAAACTGAAAAATTATATATAAAAATATTTAAAACTGTAAAATTATATATAAAAATAAATCTTAGGAAGAGAAAATGCATATTTGTGAAACAAAAATGAATTTTATAAAACTACATAATTACTATAAGTTTATTGCAATAAAAAATTTTTGAAAAATTTTACTTTGCTCAAAATTTAAATGCTAAATACAGCACTCAGATTGGCTTATGTTTTATTCTTGACATTTTAAGTAAAGAAACAAAAAAATTAATAAAATAACTTCAAATATTTTTACCTTGCACATATTTAAAAGTTTATATTATTTGATTGATTTGTTTAGGAAATTGTTTGGTTAATGTGCATGTATTGTGCTGATTTACTTTTCTATTAATTTATAAAAAAAAATTTGATGTTTTTGAATATTGTGTTCACAAATAAAAAGAATTTATAAAGAAAAAATAAAAAGTTTATGTTAAAATTTTCTAATTTAAAATCAAATTATTTTTTGCTATCTATTTTCCTATCTATTTTGCTATCTATTTTGCTTCTAGCTGTGCATGATTTAATGTTTAAAAAAAATAAAGGCATCAAGCCTTCCCCTTTTTCTAAAATCTTCTAAAATGCAATAATAAAAGATAAATATAGAGAAAGTACTTTGAAAATAACAAGATTTAACAATTCTGTTATTTTCATAAAGTTATATTTAAATTTTTTTGAGAAAGACGCCTAAAGATATGCTACAAAGGCTTGCTGTGTATTAGGAAAATTATAACAAAATAAAAATCAGTTACATCAAATACCTCTGATCTATTTCCATAGAATGTCTTGTTTCATATAAATTAAAAAAAAAACTATGGTTATTCAGATAAAATAATGTTTATTTATTAAGAAAAAATTTAAAAGTTATTATTTTAGGACTGTAAATACCTACCTACTGATGTCGTTAATGCTATTTCTGTAAATTCTTTTAAAGCTAAACTTGATGGATTTTAAATAATGTAACTATGCTGAATAATGATATAGCTGTTTATGTGTACTTGGTGCACTCACCGAATTATCGGTCACAGCTCAATATGTTACTATAATTAAAAATGACTTTTATTACTAATTTATTGTAAAATCTTTTTATTATAATCTTTATTTTTATATTAATGTTTGTTATTTTGTTTATTTTTATTGATTTACAAACGTACATATTTACATATATATTTACTATTTTACAAATATATTTACATTATGTATATTTAATTAATCGATATTTTGAAATCTTTTACTTTTTAAAAATATATTGATTTTTAAGATTATCTAGCCAAAGTTTTATTGCAACGGCTTCCAGATAAAAAACCACAAGTGTTTATCAACTTTCAGTTTGCATCTTACTGTGATATGATGTATGTTTGCATTGTTTCCCTTATTGTTTTCTTTGTAACTTTAAAGTTCATTAAGCTTTTGCAGTTCAACCATCATGTTGCAATGATATCTTATACTTTAAAATCTGCTTGGTATCCTTTATCAATGTTTGGAATTGTCTTTTTTATCATTTTGTGTTCATTTGTTACTTTTTCTAATATTGCGTTTGGTAAAGTTCTGATTTTTTATTTTATTTATTTTAAAAAAAAAAAAAAAAATATAAAGCAAATAAATAAGTTAATGAATTAATTTCTTTTGATGATTCGGTATAAAATTATTGTAAATATACTATTAAGTATTGTATTAACAGTTTTATTTAATTTTGTTTTTTTGGTCATTTTACTTAATAATCTAATTTATATTTAATTATATATATTTTATATTTATTATTTTTATAGTTGTTATATTATTACATGCCAATGATTGCGGCAATTTGTGTTACCAGAAAAATTTGTTGTCCCCTTTTCTGTAATAGACTAAATATATTTTTTTAATGATGATTGGTCAACATACCCTTTGCAGTGATAACAACCGCACAACGTTGTGGCATTCAATCAATTGATTAGCACAAGTAGGTAAACTTAGATGTATGTTTGGGGTCATTAACTTGCTGAAATATTTATATGAATTTTCTTCTTGTGCAGAGAAAATTATCTCAATCTTCTCACTTCCAGCATAATGTTTTATAATTACAAACATTTCGTATCGATTGTCATTTCTCGTGCCAATACGTTTTGTTTACCATTACTTCCAAAAAAGTTTTATTTAGATTCGTCTGAGAAAACTACTTTTTTTAAATCTTTGATTGTGCAATTTAGATGCTCATTATTACATAGAAATCGGTCTTCTTACTCTTTTTACTGATAAAAGGTTTTTTAACAACGATAGCCATCAGGGCCTTTCGATGGCGCCTAGGTCAAAAATGAAGTACGACACCCTTATTTCAAACCGAAAATTTACAAAATTTAAAGTTTTACGCAGTAATTATTTATTTCTGATACAGCATATTGTATTTCTGTGTTACTAATAATTCTGCGGATTGAGAATCTGTTCATTAAGCAACACTAAGATATTCAAAATGTTTGTTTTAAAACCAATAAACGAAAATGCATAAAACAAAATTTTCTAGAAAGATATTTAAGGCACTTAAAAAAAAACTTTTCGAGCTTTTCTGACCGCTCAAATTTTTATGTTGTCAACGCAGCTCACCTTTTAGGCCAAATTTTTTTTAATCAAAAAAATCAAAAGATCAGCAAAGTGTCTCTGGGCCATGGTCGAAAGAAAAACGTTTTTTACATTATTTAGGTTTTTAAACGATAGTTCACCCTCAGCAACTGACACAAGAATAGTGTTGATAATCTGGAGCATGATGCAAGTGTACAGAAAATGGCGTATAAGTCTTATTTCGAAGATTTGATTGAATAGCTGCGGTAAATTTCTGCGCTTTGAAAATTTTTTTGCGTTTTTTTAAAAAGACAAACTTTTTCAACAATATCCTTTTTAATGTCACATCACTTTGATTAAAC